AAGCGATATTTGGAAAAGATCCGATAGGTAATTATTTTTAAAATTAGAAGAAAAGGCTTAAGGCACTTAAAAACAAATCGGTGTGGCACTTTTAACTTAGTTTATCCTCTCTTTTCTGGCACTAGTGTTTTATATAATTTTTCATTTTCACCGAGAACAAGTTTATCACACAATTCTTTTCCCTAAATTTTTAAATTAAAAATAAAATTTATTTTTATTCATTTACTTGAATAAAACAATGATCTTGATTGGATACTTCATATTTCCACCCGCCAAAACGCCTTCGACTATAAATTTGGTATTCTTCGAGAATTGAATGGCAACGGGAAAGTTCTGAATCTCTCTTAAATTGTTTTTTTTTGATAAACTTTTATTTTTTGAAATACTTGAATTGTTGGAATAGGATAACCATAAGGTAAAGTAATTGAAAAAATCGAAACAATTTTTTCTCTTTTAATTATAGTTTTTCTTATAAGTCCTTCTACAGCTTGATCACGAATTTCCTCTTCTGTTGCCTTTAAAAATTAAAAAAAAATTAAAATTATGTACATATGTATAGAAAATAAAAATTTCATTTAATAATATAGGTACATATATGAATATTTTACATTAATAATTTTAGAGCTTTAACCCGAACCTTCGGAGGGAGCTGGGGGAGGCTATGTCTGAGTACGAAGTTATCAATTTTTCGAGGTTGGGGCGGAATTTTTAACCTTTTACTTTAATAAAATTAAACATATTAGAAAAGAAAGCGTTTTTAAGTTTATGAGAAAATTATTATTATTGTAATTTATGGGAAAATTTCATAGCAAATAATTTACTCAACATTTATCCGTGGTAGACCAAACAAATTCAATTTTTCACTTGTGACATGTGTAACCAATACTTGTTTACTATTGTCTACTTCAACACTCCCCATAAAGCTGCCCAACATATGTACTAAACTCGTTTCCATTGAAACTTCTCTGCCCTTGCAAGGCAATCCAGTGAGAAAAATTTTTACATTTTAATTTTTTTACAATTTTTTTTAAATTTTCTTTTTTATTTATCAAGTAAACTGTCTCTTGGTTTTATGCGATATTTATGCTTTCTACTATTTATGTTTTGGGTTTTACTAGGGATCGGTTAAAATTAAAATATGATTAAAATTTTGTTTAATTTTGAGGCAAAATTCAGTCAAAATTTTAATTTGAAATTATTTGATTGGATTTTAGTAAAGTACTCCTATTGGGATATGTTAGAGTAAAATGGCAGATTATTAAATATTTTTATTTTTCATAAATAAAAATAAAAGAAATAAAAATCTATTAAAAATTAATATTATATGAAATATTTAATTGTTTAAGTTAAAAAACATTTTTTATTCATTTATTTGACAGAAACAAATTTAAAAAAATATTATGGATATAAAAACATTTGTTTTTAAAACAATAAATTTATTTACTGACACTATTGGACTTTTAATTTTTGGAAATGTTGTTTATTTAACTATAAAATATAAGTAAATTTTTTTTATTTTAATAAATTAAATTTTTAATAAAATAAAAATTAAAAATAAAATTTGGAGTTGCTTTGAGCTATTATTATTCATAAAAATGCCAAAAAATTGACAAGAATAACAAAAATATCAAATATACCGTATTTACTCGATTAATTCCCCACCCTCGAATAATTCCCCACCCTCTATTAATTCCCCATGCCAGGGATGAGTTGAAAAAATAATTCCCCTCCCTCGAATACCCTATTACACGTTCAAATTTCAAAACTCAAATAATTCCCCTCCCTTGAATAATTCCCCATGCCACGGGTGGGTTGAAAAAATAATTCCCCAGGGGAATTAATCGAGTAAATACGGTATGTAGATTAAATATAAAATTATTGCAAAATTTTGAAAATATCGAAATGAAAATACATTCTAGAAGTTTAAAATGATTTAAATATTTCCTGATTTACAATGTTTAAGAAATATACGGATTTCCTTATTTTTTAGTAGAGTTCAGCGGGATCGGGATCCCGGTCGGGATCGGGCGGGATTATCCCGGGTTTTTCGAATCCCGATCCCGATTTTTCTGATCCCGGTCCCGAAATAAATATCCCGATCCCGATCCCGGCCAATCTCAATCCCGAGCCGGGATCCGGGATCGGGATGTGCATCAGATCCCGATACAAATCCCGACTTTATAAATTTACTAGAAGCCTGTGAAATTAAGTTAACAAAAGAGGGGAGGCATGAAAGTAAAAAAAATTTTTGCCTGCGGCGCAGAAATTGGAAGAAATTTGGCATCTTGAAGTCCAAAATTCTCAAAATTTTCGCCTGCGGCGCCACAAAAATGAACAAAGCTGTTTTTACAACTTTAACGAAATATTGAGTGATTTGGTGTGATATCGATGAATCAAGAGGGATTGAGAGGAGTACCGGTGGATTTGGAGTATAGAAGGATATCGGCGGATTTACATGGATTAACTTATTTCTGAAGAGAAATCGGGGGTTAAGAGATTTTACTACATGAATTTTACTACTTAATCTTAAGATTTTACTACTTAATCCCTCAATCTCAGTTCTTAATCGTCCACATTTGCACGTAACGCACTTAATCGTATAGACTTGAACGTTTAGACTTGAATGCTCTTGGCATTCAAATTTTATAAGTTTGGCCTTCCAAAATTAAAAAATATTGCCTGCGGCGCTTAAAGGGGAGGAAATCTGGCACCGTGGGGGGAAATCTGGACCCGCCATTACTTTATGTCACCTAAATCCCCTGAACCTGAAATTAAATTATGCGTTTATGAGATTTAAACTCAATATTTCAGCACTGCAGTGGCAATTTTAGAATTATCTGAGTTGTATGTAAAAAAAATGAAAATTTAAAAATTTTGAAAAAATTTTTAAGTAAATACCGATCCCGATTTTTCAATCCCGGTCCCGATTCGGGATCGGGACCGGGATCGGGATCTTCGGCCCAAATCCCGATCCTGATTTCGGCCGATCCCGATCCCGTGTCGGGATCCGGGATCGGGATCACCATTCCTAAATCCCTGAACTCTATTTTTTAGATGACTTAATAACAATTTAACCTTTCAGAGATCTCCATACACTTTGCCACATTCTACTTGGACTTTATTCTTTATCTCAAGCCTGCTCTAAAGTCGTTCTGTTACCGTCCTACATACTTTATGTTCTGCAAAGCACAATTCCTACTTATATTTGTGTTTTAATTGCTCTAATACCTAAAGCATTAATGATGGGCACTTTTACATTTATGGTATCAATTGGGATTGATAGAATGCTTGGAATTTGTTTCCCTTTTTGGTTAGTTCTAAGTCGAGATCAAAACTAAAAATATATCTCAAGACAACTCAAAACATACAAAAATTTTCGGGCAAAGAGTAGTACATATAAGAACTATGTTGCGGACTAAATCGAAACTCGTGGTCACTAAAGATCGTCATCTTACTTATACCGTATTTTCTCGATTAATTCCCCTGGGGAATTATTTTTTCAACCCTTCCTTGCCATGTGGAATTATTCGAGGGAGGGGAATTAATCGAGAAAATGCGTTACTTTTATAAATATAATTTTAATTTTATTTAAAAGGTATATGCAAAATAAGAGCAAACTTTATCGGCTTTTATTGATAGGCACACCATTTACTTATCCTTTGTATTACTTATATTTGATGATTCCAGATTTGTCAAATAATAGGTTTAAAATAAATAATTTTAAATATTTGGAAATTATTTTAAGTCCTTCAAATTGTTCATCATATTATAACAATGAAGTTACTACAATAACTCAATTTGTTTGTGTTATTTCTACGTTATTTTGCTATTTAATTATTTTATTAAAAGCGATATTTGGAAAAGATCCGATAGGTTGTTATTTTTAAAATTATAAGAAAAGGCTTAAGGCACTTAAAAACAAATCGGTGTGGCACTTTTAACTTAGTTACATTACCCTATTTTCCCCCAATTTTCTCCTTTTGCCATGTAATATTGCTGCATGGCATTCTATATGGCATTTATGATTTATCGCTTCCGCTTATTCGTTAGCTCGTATCAGCACTTATTTATAAACCGACGTTCAACCCTTTTTTCCCTCGTACATCAAGACGCCTTATCGAGATTTATTTAAAGGTCAGTCTCTGCGTGAAGCAATTCTCAAATCTTCAGCTACATTAATTTTTATTCAAAATTTTGGCTGGATTTGTTATCTTGGTGTTAACTTTTATATTAGAAATTATATTAAAGACATTGATCAAATATCACTATACTTAAACTTTGCAAATATTTTTTCTTCTTTAATTACTATTGTTGAAGTTCTATCTCTTTTTATTACCAGGTATGTTTTGAAAAAAATAAATTAAATTTTCATGTATTTAAAAATATGGCAAACGTATTTATCTATTCCTCAAATAATCAACCGATTAATTATCTAATTTAGCAAGAAACTAAAAAAAATAATTAATCTCCTTCGAAATAGCAACCCTTACAAGGGAGAGACTGTGGGGGCGTCCGTGGGAATTCGTGATAAAATTTTGTAATACAGGTAGACAGATATAACAAGTTTGAATCCTGCATGAGAAATTTATTTTATTTTAACATAATTTTAGACTTTTATTAGTCTAAAATTTTGAAAAATCTCTGTTATATAGCAAAGTACAGAGTTATTGTGTACTAGTTTGCGGATATATAGATTGCGAGCTTGACATTTATCTAAAATATATTTAACCTTAATTTTTCTAAAATTAAAGCAGTTCTCATCGTAAAGCTTTGAAAATGGAATATGATTGGATTTTGAAACTTTTTCATAAAACACAAATTAACAACCCAGTTGTCATTACGAATATTAAAATTAACAAAATACGTCCAAATATTAATATGAATAAAAATTGAATATTTAAATATTTAAATGTATTTTAATATATTTGGAAAAAATTTTTATTATTATTTGTCTGATTTAAATTTAATAAAAAATTATTTTTTTCTCTTTCATAAAATATTTATCCTCTCTTTTCTGGCACAAGTGTTTTATATAATTTTTCATTTTCACCGAGAACAAGTCTATCACACAATTCTTTTCCCTAAATTTTTAAATTAAAAATAAAATTTATTTTTAATTATTTACTTGAATAAAACAATGATCTTGATTGGAAACTTCATATTTCCACCCTCCAAAACGCCCTCGACTATAAATTTGGTATTCTTCGAGAATTGAATGGCAACGGGAAAGTTCTGAATCTCTCTTAAATGTTAAATTTTTTGATAAAATTTTATTTTTTGAAATACTTGAATTGTTGGAATAGGATAACCATAAGGTAAAGTAATTGAGAAAATCGAAACAATTTTTTCTCTTTTAATTATAGTTTTTCTTATAAGTCCTTCAACAGCTTGATCACGAATTTCCTCTTCTGTTGCCTTTAAAAAATTATAGAAAAATTAAAATTATTTATATAATTGAAAATTTCATTTAAATAATATCGTATATGTATATTTTATATTAGTAATTTTAGAGCTGTAACACGAACGTTCGGGGGGTTATGTCCTTCAACAGCTCGGAGTTTTCAATTTTTCGAGGTTGGGCGGAATAAAATTATTAATGGAAATTATTATTCTGAAAGTGTCGGGGGTTTGGAGTACAACTTTAATTACCTTCGTTTAACTTTTTACCACTAATTTTATCTACTAACCGGATCATCACAAGGTAATGCACAATCACACATTACAGACCAATATTTGCTACTATCTGGAGTAACATCTCCATAACTACATATATTTTTATTTAAATTATTTCAAATTATAATCTTACCGCGAAAAGAAAGTAACTCGATAAAAAGGAACTTTTGGATCAGGGAAATATAACCAAGTAAATTTCTTTTAAAATACATAATTTTAATACATATATTTTCGATTCAATATTTTTACCTGGCAAAATTCAGTAAATGGCAACTCTAACCCAACACCAACAATAATTACCTTTAAATAATTAAAAAAATAATGGAAAAATCATCAGAATATCTCCCGTATAACCTGTATTAATTGCTCTCCCTCAAATAATTACCCCACTTACATTAATTACCCCATCCAGCGATGGATTGAAACAATAATTACCCCCAAACAAATGCCCTAAAACTCGTTGAAATTTCAAACCTTATAAAATTACCCTCCCTCGATTAATTACTCCCTCCAGCAGAGGGTCGAAACAATAATTACCAAAGTAGTTATTAAAGGATATCTGGCTTGATTTTTAAAAAATATTATTTTTCATGGCTACAGTCTGGAGCTCTAATTTCCGATTTTGGAATTATTTTCAGTATTTTCCAGTAAAATTTTAACTTTTTTATTATTTACCTTATTATGCTTTAATTGTAAGGGAGTACATATTTTTGTCTGTTCAACAAGTAAATCTATCGGTCCAGAATTAATTAAAATATCATAGCTAAGACGATGTTCTCTTCCTTCAGAATTTGTATATACTAGCCTTTTCTTGTTGTAATCAATTTTGATCACCTTTTTTTAATTATTAATTTTATTTTTAGTCATTCACAAAATCCCCTCAAAATAGCTCCGTTTGGAACGAAATCAGCTCTCGATAAAATTAAGAGAGTTGACTAATATATTTATTAAATTAATTTTACTCACTTTAGTACCATATTTGAACCACTTTGAAGGCAACAGTTGTTCCATCTTTTCCCAAACAGCACCTGTACCGCCATATTTGGGGAACTTAAATGTAGTTAATGGTTGATATTATTTTAATTAAAATATTCTCAAAACTCACAGTAAAATGAGTATTTGGTCCCCAACCAAAATCTGCCTTCTGTAAATTAAAAAAACTGATAGGGGTTGTGATTTTTGAATTTCCTTTCTTATTTGACTAAAATGGAAACTCTTTCACTAAGTTTATTAGAAACTCAAAACTCTTTCCTCGCTTATTTTTTCAATATTTTTATTTAATTATTTAAATACTTTTAATTCTTCCTTTCCCATTTCACATAATTCTTCAAGTTTTTCCTGTGGTAACTTAGCAACTCTAGTTCCGACCCACGAACATGACCTTTTAATTAAAAAATATTTTGTTTTCTTTTAAATATTTTTTTACATTTTGGAAGTATCCACAGTCCAAACTTTCTTTGTATACGGCTTGAAGAAAATCTCAAGGATTGAAGGACCAAAGTGATGGAGAACCCAACTTTCAAAATCAGTGGGGGATGATTGACTGATATTTTGCTGCTTTTAATTAATATTATTTTACATTAAATTTATTTTTTGGAATTTTCTAACAACTTTTAAATGTTCATTATGCAAAATTTTCAATTTAAAAATTTTTCCAGATTAAATTTATTAAAATTATTTACATCTTCATATCGTTGCTTCAATTCTGACAAACATTTCCTTTTTGTTTCTTCAGGGAATAAAGGGACAGCAAATTGAGCTGGATATGGAACGAGATTAATACCTTAATTAATTTGTAAATTAAATCTTTTTCAAATATTTAAAAATATGGATACCAGGTTCTCCGTATAAATAATTTAAGTCAACCATACAATTACGTTCTAAATTATTCCATTCATTTATTGCTTCTTTTGTTGCTTAATTTTAATTAATTAAATAATTTTTAAGGACTGAAAACCTTTTTCATAATAAGGAAAATTATGTGAAAATGTAATATGTCCACCCATATCCCAAAGAAATCCATGTTCATCTCGAATCTTGAATTATATTTTAAAAATTATTAAATATCTCTAATACCTATTTTTTCTTTTTTTAATTAATCTAAATAATATTGACAGGCGAGGATCATTACTAATATAAAAGTAACACATTTGGTATCAAAACAACTCTAAGGAAGTGAAAGATCCAGCTGGCTAGCATTTAAAACGCTCACAAGGCGGGGTTTAAGATCTATTAAAATAGAAGGTGGAAGCAGGTCCCAATAGCTCAGTTGATAGAGCACCAGTACGTAGTGAGCGAAAGCGCCTAGCAATAACTGCCAGAAGTTCCCAGGATTGAAGCCTGCCTGGGATTAAATTTTTACCTCGCTCTTACTCAACTTTTAGGAAAATGTTACACCAGAGTTTCGACTGTATTTATCAAGTTTTTATTTTATTTAACACAAAATTCAATTAATAAATAATAAATTCACCGTTCCAGAAAGCCCCCCAGGTTTCATTTCCTTCTCTAAGACAATTAATTCAATATCCTCAACATCTTCAATTCCTTCTTTTATGATTTCATTTAAACGATAGGCAAAGCCTAATGTTGTTGGAGCACAACCAATACATACTATCCTCATTTTTTCAAATTAAATTATTTAAAACTAATTATTTTATTCAAGTTTTTAATTTAAAAAATTAGTAAAATGTCTGTGAAGATATAATAAACTAATTAAATATTTTATCTATTTGAACGTTAAATAAACTGGTCATCAAAAGATATATCCCCACATTTATCTCTCTTTTTCTTCTATTTATTTTTAAAACCCTTCTCGACAGCTATATACATTTTCAAATATATTTAATAAATTTTGCGCAAATTCCAACAATATTAGAGTGAAAAAAGAAATAAATAAATATCCGGGTTGACATTTTATTTTCTTGTCTGCTGGCACAAATTACCGATGATAAATAAAAGAAAGAAAATAAAGAGAGAGATAAGCTAAACATGTGATTATATCGATGTTTTTAAATGAACAGTGATCGTTTTATAGTTAAAATAGCCGATGAAGCTGATATATATATTAAAATAGCTGATATATTTAAAATAGCTGATCTGCCAGTCGAAAGTAGTCTTAAACTAATTCGAAAATGTTTTTAGAGATGATGCAGAATTGCTTAAACTAAAACTCGGTCAAACCATGTCCTCTTGATAAAAATAATCTATTGCAAGAGATATTGAAACAAGTTACTGATTAACCCCTGCCACATTTTTGAAATTTTAACCCTTATGTGGAAAGGTAGAAATGAAGGTTATTTCACCTTATGTCGAATTCAAACTTAATTATAAATTTATTTTGTCAATAAATCTTGTTTTTGTAGTATATTTGTTGTGTATCTAAGGGCTAATAAATTTATGATAATTTAATTTATTTATTTATAATTTATTAAAAATAATATTTAATAATAATACATAAATAGTTATTTTTCTTTAATTATTTAGACAGATTTTTTTCTATTATTTCATGTTAACAGTAAAAATTTAAAAAATTTAAGTTAAATTACTTTACTTTTTTGCTTAAAAAATATTGTTTTGCAATTTTATGCATCAACTATCAACCTAATTTTAATATTTAAAAAATCTCAAATATCAAGCAGATGTTTATTTAATAAATTAATTTTATCTTCATTTAATATTTAAATTATTTAAAAAAATTTTTTAGCCTCCCACTTAAATTACTGAATTATACGTTGTAAATATTTATGATAAAAGTTAATATATAATTAAGATTTAACGGCACGGATATTAAACAAAAAAAGGCAGATGTTTTTAGTAAATAATAATTAAATTATAAGTAACAATTTAAAAGAAAAAATTTTACATTTTAATTTTTTTCTAAATTTTAGAAAAAATTTTAATTTTCTTTTTTACTTTCAAGTAAATGTTGTTAACTGTCTCTTGGTTTTATACGGTATTTATGCGTTCTACTATCTATGATTTGAGTTTTATTAGGGCTCGCTGAAATCAAAATATGATTAAAATTCTGTCAGATTTTGAGCCAAAATTCAGTCAAAATGTTTATTCGAAATTATTTGATTGGATTTTAGTAAAGTTGTACCCCGACCCCGTTCCCGAACGATTTTTTCACAATTATTGAACAAATTTAAAAAATATTAGAAACAAATTTAAAAAATATTATTATATATGGATATAAAAACATTTGTCTTTAAAACAATAAATTTATTTACTGATACTATTGGACTTTTACTTTTTGGAAATGTTGTTTATTTAACTATAAAATATAAGTAAATTTTTTTTATTTTAATACATTAAATTTTTAATAAAATAAAAATTAAAAATAAAATTTGGGATTATTTTTGGTTAATATTATGTATTTCCCTAAAGATGTAATTGATAGAATTCTTGGAATTTGCTAAGAAAAATATAGATTTCATATTTCTACCAGACTTAATAACAAAATTTTAACCTTTCAGAGATCTCCATACACTTTGCCACATTCTTCTTGGACTTTATTCTTTATCTCAAGCCTGCTCTAAAGTCATTCTGTTACCGTCTTACATACTTAATGTTCTGCAGAGCACAATTCCTACTTATGTTTGTGTTTTAATTGCACTAATACCTGGAACATTAGTGATGGGCATTTTTACATTTATGGTAGCAATTGGAATTGATAGAATGCTTGGAATTTGTTTTCCTTTTTGGTCAGTTCTAAATTGAGATCAAAACCAAGTTTAAATATTTCAAGACTACCCCAAAACATACAAAAAAGTTTTGGGTAAAGAGTATATAGTATATGCTCCTCCAAATCCACATTAACCCCACCAAATCCTCAGATTAAAAATCATAGAGAGAGATAACAAGGAGTTAAATGTATATCGGCCACTATCTAATCCCTGTAAATCCCTATTAATCTCTCCAGATCCTGTCCCTTAATCAGTTAAATTCACGTCGATTTGGGAGAAAAATAACCCTGATACCGGGCCCGGCAAAGTGAAAATGTCGAGCTCTAGTATATACTCTGTTGCGGACTAAATCGAAACTTATGGTTACTAAAGATCGTCATGTTACTTATATTTTTACAAATATAATTTTAATTTTATTTAAAAGGTATATGCAAAATAAGAGCAAACTTTATCGGCTTTTATTGGTAGGAACACCATTTACTTATCCTTTGTATTATTTATCTTTAATGCTTCAAGATTTGTCAAATAATAGGTTTAAATTATTTTAAATTTTTAAAAAATTTCAATTAAAGTCCTTCAAATTGTTCAACATATTATAACGATAAAGTTATTACAATAACTCCATTTGCTTGTGTTATTTCTACACTATTTTGTTATTTGATTATTTTATTAAAAGTATTATTTGGAAAGGATCCGATAGGTAAATAATTTATTAAAATTTTAAGAAAATATGTTTAAACGGTTACGGTACTTTCGGTTTGGTTTATCGGTTCGGTTAACCGAAGAATTTGATACAACTTTACTTACAAATACTAAAAGATCAAAAGCATTCACCAGTTGATTATTGAAAGTCAATCACTTTTATTTAAAGGCAAATCTCTGCGTGAAGCAATTTATAAATCTTTAGCTACATTAATATTTATTCAAAATTTTGGTTGGATTTGTTATCTTGGTTTTATCTTTTATATTACAAATTATATCAAAAACGTTGATCAAATATCACTATACTTTAACTTTGCAAATATTTTTTCTTCTTTAATTACTATTATTGAAGTAACTTCTCTTTTTATTACCAGGTATGTTTTGAAAAAAATAAATTAAATTTTCATATGTATAGCTAAAAATAAAACTATATTAATTAAATATAGTCCAGGACACTTTATCGAGAGTTAATTAAATAAAACTCTGAATAATGATTACCCTCCATTGAAATAACACCACTTAGTATACCTCCTACATGAAAATAAACATATGTGTTTATACCCCAAGTACAGAACTATTGTAGTATAACTCTTTAATTTACAATAATTCTTAACTTTAATTTTTCTAAAATTAAAGTAGTTCACATCTTAAAGCTTTGAAAATGGAATATGATTGGATTTTGAAACTTTTCCATAAAACACAAATTAACAACTCTGTTGTCATTACAAATATTAAAATTAACAAAATTGATTTGAATAAATAATATTTAATAATAATATTAATAGTAATATAATTTCAAACTTAATTATAAATTTATTTTGTCAATAAATCTTGTTTTTGTAGTGGATTTGTTGTGTATCTAAGGGCTCAATAAATTTATTATAATTTAATTTATCTTCGGTATAGTGATAAATAATTAAATTAACTAACCTATTATAATTTAATAAAAATAATATTTAATAATAGTACATAAATAGTTATTTAGGTATTTTTCTTTAATTGTTTCGACAGATTTTTTTCTATTATTTCATGTAAACTGTAAAAAATTTAAAAAAATTACAGTTAAATTACTCTCCTTTTCTGCTTAAAAAATATTGTTTTGCAATTTTATGCATCAACTATCAACCTAATTTTAATATTTAAAAAATCTCAAATATCAAGCAGATGTTTATTTAATAAATTAATTTTATCTTCATTTAATATTTAAATTATTTAAAAAAATTTTTTAGCCTCCCACTTAAATTACTGAATTATACGTTGTAAATATTTATGATAAAAGTTAATATATAATTAAGATTTAACGGCACGGATATTAAACAAAAAAAGGCAGATGTTTTTAGTAAATAATAATTAAATTATAAGTAACAATTTAAAAGAAAAAATTTTACATTTTAATTTTTTTCTAAATTTTAGAAAAAATTTTAATTTTCTTTTTTACTTTCAAGTAAATGTTGTTAACTGTCTCTTGGTTTTATACGGTATTTATGCGTTCTACTATCTATGATTTGAGTTTTATTAGGGCTCGCTGAAATCAAAATATGATTAAAATTCTGTCAGATTTTTAGGCAAAATTCAGTCAAAATATTAATTTGAAATTATTTGATTTCATTTTAGTAAAGTCAAAAATTGGTATGATCCTACTGGGATAGAAAATATCAAATAATTTTTCTTTTTCATAAGTAAAAAATTAAAAATCTATTAGAAAATTAATGTTTACCAGACCTGGTCACAGATACTGATCTTTGTATTTGTATCCGCATATTTATGGCGGATCAGACGGATACAGGCGGATATCCATGGGCAGGTCTGATATTTGCATACATACATACCTATGTATTATAAAACGAAGCAATCAAAACAAATCCCTTTCTAAAAATTTTAAATTATTATTTAATGTTTAAATTAAACAAGCATTTTTATCCGTTTATTTGACAGAAACAAATTTAAAAAATATTATGGATATAAAAACATTTGTTTTTAAAACAATAAATTTGTTTACCGACACTATTGGACTTTTAATTTTTGGAAATGTTGTTTATTTAACTATAAAATATAAGTAAATTTTTTTTATTTTAATAAATTAAATTTTTAATAAAATTAAAAATAAGATAAGGGTTGTTTTAAGCTTTTCTCTAAAAATGCCAAAAAAAATTAAAGAAATACGAAAAATATCAAATATTGATTAAACATAAAATTATTGGAAAATTTTGAAAAATATCGAAATGGAAATACATCCTAGAAGATTAAAATGATTTAAAATATATTCTGTTTACATAGCTTACATAAGATTTGTAAATTCCCTTAAAACTGGAATTGATATGTAGAATGCTTGGAATTTGTTAAGAAAAATATGGATTTCGATAATTTTAGCAGACTTAATAACAGATAATAACAAATATTTAATAAATTAATAATATTAACAGAGATCTCCATACACTTTGCCACATTCTTCTTGGGCTTTATTCTTTATCTCAAGCCTGCTCTAAAGTCATTCTGTTACCGTCCTACATACTTTATATTCTGCAGAGCACAATTCCTACTTATATTTGTGTTTTAATTGCTCTAATACCTGAAACATTAATGATGGGCATTTTTACATTTATGGTAGCAATTGGAATTGATAGAATGCTTGGAATTTGTTTTCCTTTTTGGTTAGTTCTAAGTCGAGATTAAAACCAAGTTTAAACATTTCAAGACAACCCTGAAACATACAAGAGAGTTTTAGGTAAAGAGTATACATATACTCTGTTGCAGACTGTGATTACTAAGCAGAGGTGGGTCGGAATTCCAATTTCCGATTTCTGTTATCACTTGAAATTTTCTTTCCTTTATAACCACTCAAATCTGAGAATCTTAATCACTCAAATCCAATCCACCGATATTCTAATTAATCTCTCGATGTCTCCCTTAAGGATCGTCATCTTACTTATACATATTTTTAAAAATATAATTTTAATTTTATTTAAAAGGTATATGCAAAAAAAGAGCAAACTTTATCGGATTTTATTAGTAGGCACACCATTTTCGTATCCTTTTTATTATTTATATTTGATGATTCAAGATTTGTCAAATAATAGGTTTAAATAAATTATTTCTAATGATTTTTAAAAAATATTTAAAGTCCTTCAAATTGTTTATTAAATTACAACGATAAAGTTACTACAATCACTCCTTTTGTTTGTGTTATTTCTACATTGTTTTGCTATTTAATTATTTTATTAAAAGTCATATTTGGAAAGGATCCGATAGGTAATTTATTTATTAAAATTTTAGGAAAATATTTATGTTTAAACGGTTACGGTACTTTAGGGTCGGTTTCGGTTAACCGAAGATACTAAAAGATCAAAAGCATTCACCAGTTGACATTTTATCTAGAATTAGTCCAGGACTCTATATACTTTTATTTAAAGGCAAATCTCTGCGTGAAGCAATTTATAAATCTTCAGCTTCATTAATTTTTATTAAAAATTTTGGTTGGATTTGTACTCTTGGTTTTATCTTTTATATTGGAAATTATATCAAAAACGTTGATCAAATATTACTATACTTTAACTTTGCAGATATTTTTTCTTCTTTAATTACTATTATTGAAGTTACTTCTCTTTTTATTACCAGGTATGTTTTGGAAAAAAATAAATTAAATTTTCATATGTATAGCTAAAGATAAAACTATTAATTAAATATAGTCCAGGACAACTTATCGAGAGTTAATTAAATAAAACGCTGAATAATAATTACCCTCCATTGAAATAACACCACTTAGTATACCTCCAACTTGAAAATAAACATATGTGTTTATACCCCAAGTATCCCAAGTACAGCACTATTGTAGTATAACTCTTTAATTTACAATAATTCTTAACTTTAATTTTTTTTAAATTAAAGCAGTTCACATCTTAATGCTTTGAAAAAGGAATATGATTGGATTTTGAAACTTTTCCATAAAACACAAATTAACAACTCTGTTGTCATTACAAATATTAAAATTAACAAAATTGATTTGAATAATATTTAAAAATAGTAATAATAATATAATTTCAAATTTAATTATAAATTTATTTTGTCAATAAATCTTGTTTTTGTAGTATATTTGTTGTGTATCTAAGGGCTCAATAAATTTATTATAATTTAATTTATCTTCGCTATAGTGATAACTAATTAAATTAATTTACCTATTATAATTTATTAAAAATAATATTTAATAATACATAAATAGTTATTTAGGTATTTTTCTTTAATTGTTTCGACAGATTTTTTTCTATTATTTCATGTAAACTGTAAAAATTAAAAAAAATTTTCAGTTAAATTACTCTCCTTTTCTTGCTTGAAAAATATTGTTTTGCAATTTTATGCATCAACTATCAACCTAATTTTAATATTTAAAAATTCTCAAATATCAAGCAGATGTTTATTTAATAAATTAATTTTATCTTCATTTAATATTTAAATTATTTAAAAAAATTTTTTAGCCTCCCACTTAAATTTCTGAATTATATGTTGTAAATATTTATGATGAAAGTTAATATATAATTAAGATTTAACGGCACGGATATTAAACAAAAAAGTCAGATGTTTTTAGTAAATAATAATTAAATTATAAGTAACAATTTAAAAGAATTTTTTACATTTTAATTTTTTACGATTTTTTTCTAAAATTTAGAAAAAAAATTTTTGACTTTCTTTTTTACTTTTCAAATAACGTTGTTGTCTGTTCTTGGTTTTACACGGTATTTATGCGTTCTACGATTTATGTTTTGGGGTTTGTTAGGGATCAGTTAAAATCAAAAAAGGCAAAATTCAGTCAAAACTGTCAATTTGAAATTATTTAATTGGATTTTAGTAAAGTAAAAATTGATATGATCCTACTGGGATAGAAGATATTAAATAATTTTTCATTTTCATAAATAAAAAATAAAAATCTATTAGAAAATTAATATTTACCCGACCTGGTCACCTGGTCATCTTTGTATCCGTATCCGAACATTTACGGCGGATACAGGCGGATATCCGCAGGCATTTTGATATTATCTGTATCCATATCCGTATCCATGGGCAGGTCTGATATTTACATACATACATACCTATGTATTATAAAACGGAACAATTAGAACAAATCTCTCTAAAAATTTTAAATTATCATTCAATTATTTAAGTTAAACAAATATTTTTATTCGTTTATTTGACAGAAACAAATTTTAAAAGTTATCATAGATGTAAAAACATTTGTCTTTAAAACAATAAATTTATTTACTGATACTATTGGACTTTTAATTTTTGGAAATGTTGTTTATTTAACTATAAAATATAAGTAAATTTTCTTATTTTAATAGATTAAATTTTTAATAAAATTAAAAATAAGATTTGGGGTTGTTTTTAGCTAAAATAAGATTTGTGAATTTCCCTAAAAATGCCGGAAATAATTGATAAAAATACGAAATAAAGATGGATAAATTATAAAATTATTGGAAAATTTTGAAAATTATCGAAATGAAAATATATCCTAGAAATTAAAAATGATTTAAATATTTCCTGATTATATAGCTAACATTTTTAGGGAAATACATAAGCTTTGTGAATTTTCCTAAAAATGGAAAAAAGCTCAGAATTTGCTAAAAAATACCTATATGGATTTCCATATTTTTACCAGACTTAATTACAAAGTTTTAACCATTCAGGGATCTCCATACACTTTGCCACATTCTTCTTGGACTTTATTCTTTATCTCAAGCCTGCTCTAAAGTCGTTCTGTTACCGTCTTACATACTTTATGTTCTGCAAAGCACAATTCCTACTTATGTTTGTGTTTTAATTGCTCTAATACCTGGAACATTAATGATGGGCATTTTTACACTTATGGTATCAATTGGAATTGATAGAATGCTTGGAATTTGCTTTCCCTTTTGGTTAGTTCTAAGTTGAGATCAAAACCAAGAGATCAAAACCAAGTTTAAACATTTCAAGACAACACTGAAACATACAAGAAAGTTTTGGGTAAAGAGTATACATATACTCTGTTGCGAACTAAATCAAAAACTTGTGGTTACTAAGCAGAGGTGGTTCGGAATTCCGATTTCCGACATTTTTTTCCTTCCGATTTCCGAAATTTTGGAAAAATTTTTGATTTCCATCAATTTTTGTAGCATATTTCCGAATGAGATTTTTCCAAAATATTCAAAATCTGCGCCTTCGGCGCAGATCCCACAATGTCTTTTAACCACTGCAAATTTTCTTCACTCTATAACCACTCAAATCTAATAATCTTAATCCCTCAAATCATCCCCTAATATCCTAATTGATCTCTCGATGTCTCCCTAATCCCCCCGATATCCTAATCGATCCCTCGATGTCTCCTTATTCCCCCCGATATCCTCCTTAATCCCTCTATGTTCATTTAATCACTCGATATCTCTCGATGTTCCTAATATTTGCTCAGATCCCTCGATGTCCCCCCTCGATAATATCTCCGGTTCTTGATTTCGGATTGAACTTCTTTTTATGCACCATAATTTGAAACTTAACATTTTTATATATCAATTCAATATTGAAAATTTCCGATTTCCGATTTCTGACGTTTTTTCCTTCCGATTTCCGAAAAAAAAATTCGATTTCCGGGTTCCGACTTTTGAGCCAGTTCCGATTTCCGGCTCTTCCGATTTCCGACACCTCTGACTGTTCCGACCCACCTTTGTTACTAACAAATAAGGATCGTCAGCTGACTTATATTTTTAAAAATATACATAATTTTATTTAAAAGGTATATGCAAAATAAGAGCAAACTTTATCGGCTTTTATTGGTAGGAACACCATTTACTTATCCTTTGTATTATTTATATTTAATGATTCAAGATTTGTCAAATAATAGGTTTAAATTATTTTAAAGATTTTTAAAAAATATTTAAAGTCCCTCAAATTGTTCGTTACATTATAACGATAATGTTATTACAATAACTCCACTTGCTTGTGTTATTTCTATACTATTTTGTTATTTAATTATTTTACTAAAAGTATTATTTGGAAAGGATCCGATAGGTAATTAATTTATTAAAATTTAAAAAAAATATGTTTAAACGGTTACGGTACTTTAGGGTCGGTTTCGGTTAACCGAAGAATTCGCTGAACCCGACAACATCAAATACTAGGAGACAAAGGCATTCAGCAGTTGACATTTTATCTAGAATTAGTCCAGAACGCCTTATCGAGAGTTGACCCTATATACTTTTATTTGAAGGCCAATCTCTGCGTGAAGCAATTTTAAAATCATCAGCTACATTAATTTTTATTCAAAATTTTGGCTGGATTTGTTCTCTTAGTTTTCTTTTTTATATTGGAAATTATATTAAAGACAATGATCAAATACTATTCTACTGGAACTTTGCAAATATTTTTTCTTCTTTAATTACTATTATTGAAGTAACTTCTCTTTTTATTACCAGGTTTGTTTTGAAAAAAATAAATTAAATTTTCATATAGCTAAAAATAAAACTCTATTAATTAAATAAAACTCCAGAAAAATAAACTTCATTAATTATATATTCTAACGAGAAAATAAAATAATGATAACCCTCCTTTGAAATAACACCCCTTAGTATACCTCCTTAGATATAAATAAGCATATATGTGTTTATGTATACCCAAATACATAACTATTGTAGTATGTATATTTCTGATGTATATTTCTTTAATTTACAATAATTCTTAACTTTAATTTTTTAACTTCAAAACACTCTAACTTCAATTTTTCTAAAATTAAAGCAGTTCTCATCTTAAAGCTTTGAAAATGGAATATGATTGGATTTTGAAACTTTTTTATAAAACACAAATTAAAAACTCTGTTGTCATTACAAATATTAAAATTAACAAAATTGATTTGAATAATATTTAATGATAACTATTTTATTTAATTAATTTTTATTTTTTAACTATTTTATTTTACTATTTTTTTATTTTAATTTAACTATATTTTAAAAATTTTAAAGAAAAATATTTTTGTTTAATATTTTTTGTTAATATATTACTTTTCATTTGTAATTAATGAAACAATTGATATTAACATATATAATTATTAAGTATTATTATTAATATATAATTATTATTATTAATAGATATTAATTTTTATTAAAAATTTTATTTACGTTTTCTTTATAAAAAAGGAAAAATTATAAATGTTTATAACTTTTTAAATTATTTAAAAACAAAAATTGTTTAATGCTAGTTAAAAATAAGTAATAATCTCAAGAAATATGTACCAGGTGTTTCGCTTTTTAAAATCTGTTTCGGCACACCCCCTGATATGTACATGGCAGAGATCTGGGAATTTCCAATTTTGTTGGTCAGAAATTCTTATTTTAGAAAATGGGAATAGATCTCTAATCCCTATTAGATAATAATAAATTAAAAATATAATCTAAAAAAAGAAAAGCAGCAAATAATAATTCTGGTTTAAAAAAATAATTTTAATGGAATTCTAAATAAATAAAGACTAGAATTAATTAAAATAAAAATATTTTTAAAGAAAATTAACATTTATTTTCATTAAAATTTAAAGAATAACAAGAAGTTAAACAATCCTGAATTGAAGGGTAAAAACATCTCTCAGGGATTTTATTGAAAAGAGAACAACGATGGAAAATAGTTAAAATTGAATCTGAAAATAAATAAATATTTTTTTAATTTAAACCGGGATTAGAAAAGAGGTTAAAATAGGAATATTTTGGTTTAATTTTGAAAAAATTCCCGAATTTGTTTGAACCAAAAAATTCCATAATTTAGGCCCCAGTTACATTTCCCCATTGACGCTATAACACCTTCCCTTGCATTTACAATATTTCCATATCCTCACTTAAATATAATCTCGATTAATGACCAAATATAACGATAATTTAATTGAAATTGTTAGCTATTGGGTCTAGTTACTAAAATGTAATCGAAAACTTTATTCCAAAAAATTTAATTTTAAAAATAATTAATTTCAAATATTTTTAAAAATTATTTTCACTATTTAAAATTAATAACTAAAAGACACAAAGAATTCTTAAAATATCTAAATTATTTTTCCTTTAAATTTAAAATACCTGAAAAAGCAGCAAATTTAATTAAAATATTTAGTCTTTCAGTATCCAAATAAATTTCAATAAGAGAATCAATTCCAGCAGCATCAATATGCGAAATAACAGAACAATCCAAAATTAAAATCCCTTTAATTGTTAATTGTTTTAATGAAAGGGAGGAGGAGGAAGATGTTGAATTAGTATTTGAATTTATATTTCCAATATTATTAAGTTCCAAATCTTTTGAAATTGATTTCTAAAAAATTATTTTGATAAAAATTTAAAGGGGAGCAGCCTAGTTATAACTTTGTTAAAAATTGTCAAATCCGTGGCGCCCTTGTATGGTTCGATTCAGCTGGCCGAGCCGCATGAACCATACCAGGAAGCCGCAGATTCGACAAGTTTAAACAAAGTTTAAACAAAGTTTGGCTCGCGGTACATCGGGGTGTACCCAATTTAAAGTTATCACTAACAATCTAAATCTTCTTTATATTTATCCTACCAAAATTCACCTTTTCCTCTCCCGTATCAGAAAATTTATTCAAAACTTTAACATTATCAAAATTTCCAATCGAGGAGGAATTTTTTAAAATTTTTTGACAAATTTCAGCTACAGAATCTACCAATTTTGAAGCATTTCCAAAATGTAAAGGTGACTCAAATCTCCATATCTGAGCATTAATTTGAATTCCTGGATCACTCAAAGCTAAGAATTGGATAAATATTTATAAAAATTTTAAGAGAAAAATAACCATTATATAAATTTAATGGACGAAAAACTCCTTCAGCTTCGTTATCTCCACCAATTCTTGAAAATTTAGGCCTATAAAGAAATAAATATGTATATTATCTGATTTTGGAGGAGGCATTGGATAGTCATGTTGAACTTGTGGATCTCGAAGGATCCAGTATTATTTGTAAGGCAACATTAGTAAAACATTATCACGGTAACACCTTCACCAAAGACCAAGGTGGCACTTTTGCCCTATTTGCAGGGCATTTGCCCTATTTTTTCCCTATTTTTTCATTTGCTATAATCAAGCTAAGGTTAGCTAACTAATAATAAATAAAGATTTTATAAAAAAAGATTTTATGGCACCACGATTCATTATACGCTTTTCGATATTTTGGGTCAAACGATATTTTAGGTGCGATATTTGGGTGTCAATATTCTGGAGTGGAGTCATGCTTGATGCCAGAGGTGGGTCGGAATTCTGAGTTCCGATGTTATTTCTTTCCGATTTCAGAGTTCCTACTTTTGAGCCAGTTTCGATTTCCTGCTCTTCCGATTTCCGACACCTCTGACTGTTCCGACCCACCTCTGCTTAATACTTAATAAACAAAAATATTAACTAGATATACTTCAATTAACTATTGTCATTTAATAGAAAAATTTATTTAAAAAAAATAACCATTGTTCTTTAAGTATAATAGACAAAATAGAGAAAAACAAAGAAATAATAAGTCCAAAAGTAATATTAAGAAATGCGGTGGTTGTAAATGCAACTATCCAAATTAACTGAAAAAATTTAAATTATTTCAGTTAAATCCACAAATAATTACAAAATCAAATAAATTAATCTTCCATAATTTTGGTAATTCTTTAAATTGAAGAAAAAGGGGTTTAAGACTAACTACAACAATACAACCAAGTACAGCAATTGGAAGAGGTTCAAGTAAGGGTCCAATCCAAAGAATAACTACAAGGAGTAAAGCGCTAGAAAAAAGTGCATGAAACTGGAAAATGAAGGGAAAATAAAAAAAAATTATTGAAGTTTTACTTGTGTTTTAGCTCCTGTAATTTCACATAAAGCCGATCTAGAGAGTGAAGCACCAAAAGGAAATACGGGAAATAAAGAAGAGATTAGTGAACACATACTTAGAGCATACAATTCTTGATTAGCATTTAATTTATATTTATGTTTTTTGGCAAAAGTTTTGCCAAGAGAGAAGAGGAAAGCATAACAAATTATTGAAATACTTAGAGAATCTAGCCAAATATGTCGTAAAAGTGTAAGACGAGGAATTGAATAATTTGGCATCCTTTAAAAATAAATTTTTGGTTATAAGGTAAGGGTTGGACATGTCGCGAAACGCGAAATTTCTTTAAATTAAAATTTTATTTTTAATTTCATTTTATTTTTGTTTCCTTTATCTAAATACATAATCTATAATTTTTCCCATACATTCTTTGTTTTCTACACATACATTAATGTTTGGCCTTACACCTATAAAATTAGTTTTGTTTTTCTTCTTCCCGGTCTTCGCTTCACTTTTAACTTTACTAATTGTATTCATCAGCTTACTACTTTATACTTCCTTTGCTTTACATTAGCAATTTTTCGCCTGCCTTACTTTAATATTTTTATATTTGTGAAAGAAATAAAACTTTGATTGAAAAAGACGTTATTCGGTTTTAATATTAGAGAAATCCGACCAATTTCTCTACAGTCTTACCCAGATTAGAGAAGAATAATCCCACAAGTTCTCTACAGACATAACAGGTTATTAACTTTAATTAAGGAGGTTGTTTATTGTTTAGGCATATTGTTTAGTTAATGCTGTATTGGTACTTGTGTAGTTCCCACCCCCCCCCCATAAGCCCCGCCCATTGTCTTAACAAGTACCCTGTTATTTGCTCAACAATTCTAACTCAATAATTTTCAGTTTTAGATCTCGGGTAACCATTTATGTCCCACCTTAGTTGATGCATAAAAGGGTTGGCTCGTTTATCGTTTATGTCGTTTATTTAATGTCCGTTTATTGTATAGTTTAAGTACGCCAAACCCCCATTTATGTACAATACACAATCATCTAACTAAGCTTGTCCAACCCTGATTAAAATCTCACCCTTGGGGTACATTCTCAACAATTCTAACTCCATAATTCTTTTTCAACCCAACAGTTGCTGAAAGAATTATTGCAGCAATTACCTAAAAAATAATTTTAGAAAAAAATTCATTTAAGAAACCAAAAAAAGTTCCAAAGGTAAAGGTATTTTGAAACGTTTTCTAAATATTGGATTAATCCAGTCACGTCCAATACTTAAAAAAATAAGACCAAAAATAGAAATACAAACAGTAAATATATTAATATTTGAAGCTGAAATAAACAGATCTTTCCACATCTGTGAAAAACACATATAAATATACACAATTTAATATTAGACTCACAAATAAAACTAATCCAGGGCCTCCATAACTTTTAACTTTAACACCAATTAATTTATCCAATTGTGATGTTAATACGTGTACAGCGGCACCAGTAGTGAAACCAGAAATAAGAGAATCAGAAATGTAATTAGTTATAAAGGATAAACGAAATATAGCCATTAATATCTTTAAAAAAACAAAATTATCCCAAAATTATACTTAAAAGGTTTATACTTAATTATACTTAAAATAATTAAGTACTTGAAGGTTTTAGTGGACTTCGAATATCACTTTTCTCCTTAATTAGCTCAAGTTCCCCTCAATCCTTATATCCCCATAATTCCTCTTTTACTTTAATCATCGATATACAGTTTATTCACTTCACTCTCTTAATACTGAGGGATACTTTTTTATTTTTCCCCAAAATTTTTTAGGTGGGGCTGTATTAGAGTGTGGGGCTCTAATTGAGGGTGGGGCTCTAATATAGGAAATACGGTATTTAAGTACTTCCTTTCATCATAATAAAAAATACAAAATTTTATTTAAAATTCTGGAGATTTTTTAATATCTTCAATTTAAATTTGTTCAAACACCTGAAATATGCCGGCCCCAAAAGTTAAAGCACTTGTTAAAACTAAAGGTGTTAGGGGTTCTCCTTCAATAATTAAAGTATTTGTATTATTATTTCCATTTTCTGGTATTAATTGTGAACGTAAATTCCCAACCATCATACTTGCCACAGCAAAAGTACCTCAACAAAAATTTATTTTTATTTTAAAAATTAAAGAAAATACCAATAGAAACATGCGGGGAAGTACCAAAAAACATATAAAAGAAGGCAGGAAAAAAGCAGGAATATAGACCATAAACTGGAGGTACTTTAGCTAATGTTGCATAAGCCATACCTAATTAATAATATTTGGGAGAGAGAATATTTTTTAAATAAAATTTTAATAAAAATTACAGATTAAGTAATCCATACCCTGTGGGACAACCATAATTCCAACAGTTAATCCGGTAATTAAATCACATTGTAAATATTGCCTCCATTTATAGCTAGGCAACCAACCAAAAATTGGTAAAAGATTAGTAAATACTTTTTTTACATTTTCTTTTTTTAAACATCCGCTTGGAGTTAAATTTTGTAAAAAAGGGTCTAATTTTGAATTTAATTGTTTTTGTTGTGTATTTTTGCTGAATCTCGTTATGTGGCCATATTTTTCTTCAAATTCAGCCTATCAAATAAATAAAAATTAACGAATTAAGGAAGAAAAACTTAAGTTTGTGGAAAAGAAATGATTACTTTGAATTTAGGCTGGACCCCGATCCGTCGGGATCGAAAAGTTTGAGGTCGCCTTTCGGTGTTAAAATGTTGGGGCCGGGTTTGACAAAATCATTTAAGGTCGGGATCCCAACTGGTCCAAGTTTATAATACTTTGCCCTTGGTTGAGGTAATTGTGTATGAATTGAATCTCAATAACGAGGTTATTCGGCTATACGTTTTGCAATTAATTTTAAATATTTTAAATTTAATATAAAATTTTTTGCAATCTGTACATGATAGTGATGCTCGGATATCCCGATCCCGCCCCGAGGTCATTTACCGACCCATCTCCCGTTTCCTGATTCCCGGGTTTTTCTTCTCCCGGCCGATCACTAGTACATGATATCACCTGGTTCATTATTTTTCAAAGTCTGTTTTCATAGAAAAATGTTGATAATAACAATGAATACGTAAAATAAAAATATTTTTTCAATAAAATTTTAGAAAATAATTTAATTGTAATTCGTTAAATACCCATTTTTATATATTTTTATGTAATTTAAAAAGAATTCTTCAACCTTTTTAATCTTTTACATTTGAAAAATTAAAGTTTTATTTCAATTAAATTTTTATGGGGAGTTTTACTCATCATTAAAATTAAATTGACGAAAAAAGAAAAATTTATAAATTAAATTGCGTGGTGGAAGGTAAAGGAGAGGGAAAAGGAGAGATTTATTTGACAAAAATAAAATAAATTGAGAATTAAAAGAGGAAAAGAATTTTTTTGTTTAAAAAAAGAGGACGAGAACCATCGATTTTAATAAAAAAATTGCTAAGGAAACTTAAAGCAAATCTATTTTTGTTAAAGCTTCTTCTTTTAATTAATATGTAGCTAATTATTATATTTAATGATGGGTGGTTAAATTTATTTTTAAATAAATTCACTTTTTTTAATTTTGTTATTAAAGGATTTGGAGAAGGAAAGGGGGGAATTAAGGAAACGAAATTTTAAAGAGACTTACCTCTGTTTTTTTTAAATATCCTGTTTTTTTTTAATTTTCGAGTAAAATATTTTCTAATCTAAAGAAAGTGAACGTTAATCTTGCTTGGGTCAAAAATTCAAATTTTGGCAGCTAAAAATCCATAACATTTTGTAGGGGGTACTCAAATTAAAATTTTTTAGAAAATAGGGGTGGACGTACATAGCAGGGCTGGGCCTATTTCGCACTTTCGCGTTTCGCATCTTTCGCATTCTCGCATTTTTCAGCGCGAAAAATTTCACGATTTCGCCCAGCACTGGTACATAGTATAAATATTTTTTGCTTCGCAGTGTATTTTCCTAATAAAAACATGAATCTGACTAAATCTGATTTAAAAAATAAATCTGAAAAAAATAAAATATTTAAAAAGATACTAAGTAAAATATGTTTTTTTATTATTCTTTTTTAATAAAAATAATTGTTTTAATTTTATAGTTTATGTTTAAAATAAATATGTATATTTATTTTTTAAAAACATTTAAAAAATTTTTTTTATTAAATAAAAATAATTAAATAAACCACTTAAGAAGATAAGAAAAAAAAAGAATAGAATTTTTATTTTATGATTGAAGAGTCAACAAAAAATAAAAACAAAAAAAAGACAAAAAAAGGGATGTTTGATAATAATTTTTAACAAATAATTTTTATAAAAATTAATTATAAAAATTAGTTTTAAAAATTAAAATTTAAAAATAAATTTTTAAATAAAAATGCAGCAATATTAATGCTTTATTGCATCATAAGAATTTTTTGTTTCTTTTTAAAAATAAATAAATTTACCTAAATATAAAAAAAAATAAATTTTATCAAATTAATTTGAATTTCTAAATTCTTTTAAAAAGTCAGATGCAGAGTATGAAAAAAAAACATTTTATTTTTAAGTTCAAATAAAACAAAAAGAAAAATCTGCATACTCGAATTTTTTACATCAAAAATGTACTATGTCCTCCAAATGGCTTTACAGTTTTCTGGGACCTGTGTCTCGGTCCAGAATCATTTTCTAATTAACAAATAATTGTTAAGTAAATTTTTGTTAAAAATTTGTAAAGTAATCTAATTAAATCAGAGAAATTTAGAGAATAATTGAAAAATTATTTTTGTTTATTTAAATTCATTAAAATTTTTAATTAAAATAAAATTGATAATTTGGATGATTAAATATTTAAAAAAATTATTTTAATTTGATTGAAATTTAAATTTTCGCTCAGTCACTAAACAACACTTATATTTTTTATATCAAATTTAAAAAAAAAAGATCAGGAAATTAAATCGAATTTATTTTTTATCCACTGAATAATTTTGGTATCATTTAATTCAATTTCGTCGACCCCTTTCTATTGAATCAAAAACGCCCCAACAACTTCCCCAATTGTCGTAACAACAAAATTTAAAAAAAAATTAAATTAAAGACCAAAAATTTAAAACAATCCACAACGGGTCTCACTGCCTAATTCACCTCACTGTCTACGTCATACCGAAATCACCAGACACGTTAAAAATTATAACTTTCCCACTGTAGCCTAAATTTTTAAACAATTGGCACTCTAGTGGCACTCTTATTGTGGGCTCTCTAGTGGCAGCACTCTAACGGCCCGTACCTGGTACTCAACGGCCCGTTCCACGCCATAGCTTCTTGGCCAGTTTTGTCCAATGGGCTGATATTTATTTGTTTATTTTTTTTAATTCTATCAAACTAATTTTGATTTATTTTAATTAAATATTTTTTAGCAACATTTTCTTTTAAAAAATGAGCGGAAATCAGCCTCCAAAACAAAGTTTTCACCCAATTAAAAATGAAATAATTGAAAGGTTTGTTTTTTTCTTAATTTAAAAATTTAATTTTTTAGTGAACCAATTCCCGGTACTTCAACTACAAATTTACAAAATTTGACAGACTTGAGAATTCGGAATTCTTTAAATACAATTTTAATTCAGCCAAATAATCAGGATATTTTGGCTAGTTCGCAAATGAGACCTCCAAAAGCAGGTTACTTAAATAATTTATTTTTCTGTTTAATTTTGAGGAATATTTTTTATAATTGAGTCCGTAATTAGGTTTTACAATTTTAGGTACTTCATTAATATCCCACCCGATATACCTCTATTTAAGTCTCACAATCGGATTAATTTTTTTACTATTCATCATTCTCCCCCCCCCCTCCAAATTTTAAGTTTAGAAGGCCTCCTTTCTAATTTTTCTCAAATAGGGATGGGAGTGGTAAAGTGCCCAATTTCAATATTTTGAGCTAAATAAATTTATGTAAGCTAGAAATAGGGTAATTCTGCTCGGAATTAAAATTTTTAATTTCTCCTTCAAATGTCTCAATCTTTAAATAAATTAATTTTTCCTTTTTTAGATTTGACTAATTTTTGGTGTTTGGTTTATTATTATGAAATGAATGAACGTGTATGTTTTTAATTGTTTTATTTTTTTGTATATTTTTTAAGGTTGGGGAAGTTTTCAAGTCTGAATGGAAACAGGAACTGAATGAATATCCACAGTTTGTTTAAAAAAAATTTTTTTTTAATTTTTAAAAGCCAAAAAGTTGTCGAAAACCCCGATGGTTTTCAGATTTTTGGTGTTTTCGACCACAACTCCCTAAATACCGAACCAAAAATTCTCAAATTTTGGGGTCTTAAAAAACACTCGAATGAATAAATACGCAAAATTTCAAAGCTTTTGAACATCTACGGAAAATTCTATAACCATTTTTATGAAACGAATTTTTTGTGAAACGACCTAGTAAATAATCCCCCTTTTTTATTTTTGACCAGAAAATATTTTTTTATAATTTTAGGCTTATAATTGACGGAGGTGTTTGTGCTTCAGCAGAAAATACTCGTTTTTGTTTGGGTAAGTATTTTTTTAATTAAATTTTTAAATTTATTTTTTAGGTGTTATTGGGAATATAAACAGAAATCCATTTGTTAGTAAGTAAAAATTAATTTTTTTTTAAATAATTTTTAATTATAGCAAAAGTTGGCCGTTCAATAGGAAAAGGGATTCGATTAAATCAAAAAGATGAAAATATTTATTTGGAGTCCCTTAGCGATTCTGCTGTTTTTGTTCGTATGTTTTTTTTTTCTTTAAAAATTTTTCTGAAAAAATATTTCTAAAATTTATTTCGCTAATCATTCGAATTTTTTCGTCCTTTGTATTCGATAATTTTTTTTTCAAAAATTTTAGAATGCCCTCTTTTTGCACGTAAAAATGGTGATGAATTAGCTACTGTTTACAGACTCAAAGCAAGTGATGCTTCTACCTCTTCCTCTAATGGATCGAGTATTTTCTTTTAATTATTTACTAAGAATTTTTGATTATCTTTAACCTCAGATGTGAAACTTTTTTTAAGAAATTTTGCGGAAATTGGATTCTTACCTCGATCTTAGCTGTCTCCTTGATTTAAAAATTTTTCCCTAACTTTTTCTATTTGCTATTTAAAATCTGAATAATTTAAAAATAAATTTAATTTCCTCTTTTTTTCAGAACCATTTTGCCTTTTTGACATGAAAATGTTTGACACTTTATTAACTGAGGCTCGTTTACTTGGTTATAATGCTTTGTATATGTTACAGGTTTTTTAATTAAATTTTAATTAATTTAATTATTTTTATAGATTTATTGCCTTTGTAGAATTAGTTTTGTTAAAGGTTCTGATTTTCTTTAAATAATTTTTTAAATTTTAATTTTAGGTTGGGGCCAGGAATATAGACGACAAACAATTAGTTTGTTTTTTTAATTTTTTATGATAGAATTATTTTTGATTGGAGTATAAATAAAGACTGGGCTTGAGGTTTGGTCGGGTTCGTGAATTTTTATTTCGATTTTTGAAAGGAATCTCATCTCGGTTCCTTCGGATTTTTTCGGTCAAATACTCTTAAAGGGCAAATTAATTCTCCTATTTTTTAAAATTTTCCAATATTTTTCTAAATTCCTATCTAACACGGAGAGGTTGCGAGGTGTCCGACCTAAAAACGGTCGACCTCTCCGTGTAAATATAATATACCCATTTACAAAAAAATACAATTCAAATAAAAACTAAAAAATCTATTCTAATCAATTTTTAGCCTCTTGTCCAATGTGGATTGAAGTTCAATTCCCTCGACCTCTCCAAATTCTAGATGAAGTGCTAATGGAAAATGCTGACGAAATTGGTGGTGAAGAGGTTCACAGTTTCTCTTAAATTGTATTTTGGATTAAAAAATTAATTAAAACAAATCACTTTATTTTTAAATTTAAATATTTATATTTAAATAAATATTTTTATTTACATTAAAATTTAAATAATTTTTTTATTTTATTAAAATAAATTAAAAACACAAAAAAATATTTAGGTACTTATCGGTTATGCGCCCACAAACTGAATTCCATTCGAAATTGCTTGACTATAACTTTTTTGAGCTTGATCCAATTCAAATAAATCTTATATCATTCGAAAGCCCTCTATAAGCAGTACCTTTTTCCATAGGACAGATCAAGTCTGATCACTCATTTAAAAGTTATAACACAATAAGTCCAGTTATTTGGCGTTTTTCAGATTTATCGGTTTATAACTTTTTAGCGAGTGATCAGAGTTGATACATTAAGTTGGAAAAAAATTCCTCTTATCGAGGGCTTTCGAATGATATAAGATTTATTTGAATTGGATCAAACATCAAGAAGCACTTAGTTTGTGGGCTTATAACCGATAAGTACCAATAATCAAAATTATAAAAAAGAATCTTCAGAACTTGAATATAAAAATTCTTCCTCTTTTGTTTGCCTCCTTTGTACAATACACGAATATATAATTAATCCAATAAAGGCAATAAATAAACTAAATAAAAATACAAAAGGTAATAAAATACCATAAAAATCGTTGATATTATTAATTTGTTGATAAACCATTGGCAAAATTAATTCTGAAAAAATTGAGGGAGAGAATAATTTTTGAGGACCCAAAAACATTTAAAATAGGGTTGCCGGCCCGGTCCAAAAGATCGTGTCGGGCATCGAATTTTGGCCCGAAAAAGACTCCATGCCCAACTCGATAAAAATGAGGCCCGAAAAAAATTACTTGAACGTCGGCTCGACTCGAAAACGGCAACCCTAAATTAAAATAAAATACCTTAACAAATTGTCTCCATTAATTGAAGTTTATTTAGAAAATCAATTAAAATATTATTTAAGGAAAGTGAGGGTGAAAAGTTTAAGGAAAGAGAATATAAAATTGAACTTAAAATTAAGTTCTCGTTAAGTTAAAAAAATATTTTTTAAGGAAGTAAAGAATTACTAAAACTTTTCTTTTTCATCAAATAAAGGGAAAAAAGGAAGGGAAAACTTTTTAATTATTTTTTACTCTAAATTTTTACATTCGCCGAATTAAATTTTGTTTATAGTACACGTAAGAGGTTTAAGTCAATTTATTTTTATAGTTCCTCCCTCTAAGATAATAAATCATTAGATTAATTTTTTGAATTTATCAAATTAATAAAATTTAAAATATTTTTATATATTTGGAGATTGTTTTGATTTAAATCCTTGTAGAGAACCCTTTCCGAACGTATGTATTCTGTGTCAACGAAAATCAGAGTCTGTCCTAATTCTATAAAATCGGAATGGTGTTTTGTATCGCAGAATCCTTGTTGGAAATCAGGAATGAGCTATAGTAATGATATAATAATAATAATTATTAATAATAATAGTAATACATAACTATATCATCTGAGCTATAGCCAATCCAAATAAACTCTTTGGACAACTAGCCGAATAACTCAGAAACCCTTTACCAAGGTAATTATTAAATTAGAAGGTTATTTAAAACACATCTAAAATAAATTTCCGAAACAAACAAGATTATATTCAATTAAATTTAGTATTAGATAGAAAAAATAAACATAATTAATTATATGTAAAAGCTTCCAAATAATTATTAATTAATCGAGAAAATTATTTAAATATATTTCTTTTTAATATTTTTTGTAAACAAAAGTTCCCGTTCCAAAAGAACATTGGGAAGTTGAATTAGATGGATGTCTGCCATTGCTCATACTTCCAGAGAAAGCACTACCATTACCAAGTTCAGGAATACTTGAATATGAGTCTGGGGTTAGTGCTGAATTCTGAAAAGGATAATAATTTTAGGGAAAATTTGTTTCAAAGGAAAAAATTTTTTTCGAGTATATAGTATAGAATAGAGAGCGGCTGGGAGAGCGAGCTGGACCTGGACCAAGGCCTGAGTTTTTCCTGTACCCTGAGTCCAGGCCCAGGCATTATTTGACCTTCCTGCGTTTTTCCTGGACTACAGGCCCATGACCAGGTCAATAAATCAAACCCAGGAACAGGCCCAGGCTTTTCAAAAATCTCGATCTCTGTTATCGAGATTTTAATTATTTTTTATTTATATAAATTATGCCTGTAACCATCCAGGAACATAAGCACGTAAAGAAACACTTCCTTCTTTTTCATTATAATTCCAATTAGAAGCAAGTTGCATTAAACAGAACCCAAAGGAAATTGAAGCAAAAAACAATAACAACAAACAACTCCAAGCATTTTCTAAAGGTATTCTATCTCTTCGACAATTTTCTTCTGCTAAAGAAATTCGTTCATTAGCAAAATCTTTCAAAAAATCTGTCAGAATTTCTGATTGTTCCTCCTTTGAAAAAACAGAATTTATATGTTCATTTATCGCTTTTTCTTGTCTCATTTTTTGTTCCATAACGCAAACAGCATTGTGGCTATGTGAATGAATTAAAAATGTAGCAGATAATGTTATCGTTATTGGAGAACAAATTAATAGAGTTAATCCTGTCCCTATAAGTAAACGACGAATTCGTTTGGCACGGTTATTTAAACGTTTAGTTGATAGATGCTCCATTGGACTATATCGATGTAAACGTTGATTTATTCCTTTATTAAGAGAATATTTTTGTTTGGAATTAACTAAACAAACCAATTAAAATACCCAAAAGGGATAATAACATTGAACATAAAAATACAAGTAATAAAATTAAGAGAATTAAAAGTGTCCAGCCTGACAAGAAAATTGGTGAGATTAATGAATGGAATTGATATCCAAGTTCTCTAATTACTTCAAACTATAATGAAATTTAAAATTATTTTTTTGTAAAAGGATTAAAAAATGATCAAATAGAGATAACATTTCTGTAAGGCTCAAAGGTATTCACGGAGTTTATGTTTCCTATGGTTTGTATCCACAATTTTCATTCCCTCCCACTTTTCTCACACATTTAAAGGGATTTTTAATCACCTTACAATGTTCCTAATAGCTATTCAGTTAATAAATGTTTTAATAAAGCTTTTAATATTTGGATTTAATAAATATATAATTTATGTTTAATTGTTGTATGTGTCCGGTGAAGGAGATCAACTGAGGGCCTGATCAACCCTTGAGTCTATCCTAGGAAGTCCCGGGCATATTCCCTCCCTTATTCCATCATTTTGGGGTAAGGACCACCGCATTGTAAATATCTTAATCGGGGGTTCCACCTCCATTTTTCTTTGATACTATTATAGGAAGCATAATTAAGAGTTTAGATAAGAAAAAATTCAAAGGCTTCTAGTCACAAAAATGTTTACTTTTTTAAGCGTTTGTCCACCTCCAGGTTCTCCTCCAATTTCTCTCTGTTCTCGTTCGGAAATTTGTGTAGATAATCCATTAGCTGCTGCTAATTCCCCCTCTTCTTCCCCAAATACATCCAAAGCTATTTCTTCTGTTAACAAATTTTCTCCCCCCTTTTTATTTATTTGTTGTTGTTCCCCCAAAATTGTTGATTGCATTGCTAAAAGTTCAACCATTGTAGAGGCAAATAAAATACATCCAAATAATAATAAAAGCCATAAAGGGATATGAGCGAATAATAAACAACGAAAGTTTGATTTGTGTCCCTCTTGTCGTCTTTGATTAATATTGCTACTATTTAATCCAGCTACAGAGAATGAAGCTTTCTTCAAAGAAAAAGAAAGATTTTCTAATTTAAATTTTAGGAATAATTTTTGTATTAAAAGAGAGGTGGGTCGGAATTCCGATTTCCGACTTTTGAGCCAGTTACGATTTCCGGCTCTTCCGATTTCCGAACTTCTGTTCCGACCCACCTCTGTATTAAAAGAAATGTCCTTCTCATTAAATTAAAATTTTGAGGATTTTGATGAGTATTCGAAAGGATTCCGTTCAACTTTTCTTAATTCCAATTTTACTTTTTTAAATTCCAAAATATTTAATGTTTGTTTAAGAAGAACTTGTATTTTTCCCTTTACTTTCTTTACTTTGTCTTTCCCCTTTTATATCCATTTATTTATCTAAATACCTCATCCAATTTTTGTGTTTGTGTTGTATCAAAAAAGCGACTAAAACGAATACGTGCTAACATTGTAAATAATAAAAGCATGCTTAATACTGTGATAATTAGAAGAATAAGTAAAGTGGACAACAAGTTTGGCTGTGAAGGTAAATACAAATCGAGGAATGTTGGCGATAATAATCCAACAATATTTTGCTTTAAAAGAGTTTTTTCGGAAATATTTAGGGTATTTATTTACCTTATTTTCAATAGAAAGATGAAGTAATTGTTCATCTCTTAGTGGTTGTATTGGAATAAGCTTTTCCTGTATAGGCAAAGCTAAGGCTGAATGCCACCAATTTAAAAGCATTTTTATGGGAAATTTAAATTTATGAATTAAATAAAATCTTAACAAAAATTCTAAAATTGGATAAATAAATTAATTAAGAAGGATTGAAATGATTTTGGTAATAGATTGGAAGTTTGTATAAAATGTTAAGTATTAAAAGGATTGAATATTTCACTCATATGTATATACTGTATTTTCCCCCGAATACCCGGGCATTCTGTTTTTCAATCACCTTCCAAAGGGGCATTCTATTAGAGGGGGCATCACAAGGGGGGGGGAGGAGAGTTTCGAGTTCCTTTAAGCTTCTAATTGTGTAGCTATTCCAGAGACTCAGAAACTTGATCTAAAGTCGAAGTTAAAAATTTTACTTGAGAAAAGTATTTAGAATGTTGAAAATATCTTACTAAAACAAAAGAAAATATAATTTATTATTGACTAAAATTCTGTATAAGAAAGGAAGATGAAACAAAGAATTTGGGTCAACATGCCAATAAACAACAGAACAGAAGGAGGAAATTATTTAGAAACTGACAAGGTGAAGAAGAAGAAATTGCATAAAATGAAGAAAATATATTTTTGTTTTGTTATGGATATATTATTGGATAAATTAGAAGAAAATATTGCGCAAGTCAGTGGTATTGGGGCGTAAAAAAGAGGGGAAGATGGGCAGAAGAAGATTGAAAATAAATGTAGAAGATAAGAGTAAAAGAAGAATTTTAGTTAATTTTAGTATCTGATTATGGGAATCGTGAATTGGTTGAAGAATGAATTTTGTATATTTAAGGATTACCGCATAAATAAAAATTATAGTTTAATTAAATTTATTTTTGATCAAAAAATATTTCAAGAGGGAGGAAGAGGGAAGGGGAGGAGGAGGAATAATTGTAAATTTAAAAATCCAGTTATTAATAAAAGGTTTGTATGTATAGAGAGATCAACAATTAATTGAATGACCAAAAGACCAAAGTGAAATGAGTAATTAATTTGAGGATTTACAGCGACGAAAATTGAGATTGAATAAGAGTTTATGTCTTCAAAAATTATCAAAGTCTCTCTAAAATATTGCGTTTTTATTAAGAAAGTGAAGTTAAAAATATTCTTTGATTAATTTATTTAAAAAATCCAAATTACTAACCTAATTTTTACTAAAAAATTAAAAAATTTTTTTGAAATTATTATAAGCAAAAAACTTGATGGAATTAATTTAAAAAAGGAAAGAAAAGTATCTTAAAACTTGACGCAGAAAAAATGAAGAAATGACGGAAAGTAGAAGAATTATGAGAAAAATAAAGTAGAAGCGATCATGCGCAAGGATAACGCCCAAAGGCATAATTTTAAGAATTTGGTAGGTTATATATATATTTCTCCCATTTTCTTCAATTTTGTTGCGCAAACAAACCGCCAAAGGGAAAATAATTTAGAAAAATACAAAAATATTTCTCTTTTATTTAACAGTTGACCATTGCAAAATTAACGGAGAATTCGTGGGAATAAATAAATATATTTTGATTAAAATATTGTTTTCTTGAAATATAAAATGTTGGAGAAAATAATGATAAAGATAGAAAAATAATGAAAGTTTATATTATCCAGTAAAACTAAATTAAATTAAAGTATAATAAATCAATCCGATTTATTATCCCTCTAAATGCCTCTTGATCCCTCAATATCATGATCAAATTCCGCAATTCTACTAACTATTAGGACAGAAATGTACGGGAAATCTCAATTTTTTGTAACGGAAATCTCAAATGAAATTTGAATGGCCTCTCCAATAGAATAGCCCTTTTTAGGATTATTGAAAAATAGAATGGCGGCCATTCTATTAGAATAAATACGGTGATTACTCACATAAAAGCAAATACAGAAAATGATCAAGATAGACCTTTATTGTAAATATACATTAACCTAAAAATTTGTAATCATAAAATGTTAGCTAATAGGAGATAAGCCTTGAAAATATGCTTCCTGATAGTCTTGGACTTTAATTTAGATGGGTATGAAGTAAGATCAAATACTATTTCTGTTTTCTAAAACGTTAAAACGAGCTTATTTTTTGAGTAAATTTTTTTTGATCTTTAGGGATTTCAATTTATTTTTCTTTTATTTTTTGTTAATCTTAAAATGTCAGAAAGCAGCTGGATGAAAATGGAAAATTAAAGAAAAACGCCGGAAAATCTGGCGGGAGAAATGAAGGATATAAATAAATTGAATACTGGAAAAGGATTTTTGGTGAAAAATAAAAAATTTTTGGTGAAATTGAGGAGAGAAAGTTGGGTAGAAATGAAAAAAAAACAGGAAAAATATAGTTTATATTTTAATGGAAAATGACAAAAATAAATTTTATAATTGTTTAGGTCAACGCTAAATGCCCTCAACTCAACTTTTTCTTTTTAAGATTTCACTTTTCTTGATCGTTGCTATTTAAAAATAAATAAATTTTATTTAAAAAGATGATTGATAGAAATAATTTAAAATGGTAGAAAATATATTAGGTTGATTTTTAAATGAGGATTTTATTAAAATATTTGTCGATTTATTTAAACAAAATTGCTTTGATGAACTATAAAAAATTTAGTGAGAATTATAGTAGTAAAACATGCTATCGTTTTTAAATCTGATTTTGTACAGTTATAAATATCTGAAGTATTTAGGAGAAAATTAAAATCTCCATAAATAGTGCCGGATTTTTTAACGAACATACTGGGTTCGGGCCCTCTAACGAAAATTTAAAAATTGACGAAGTCAGGGATTTGGTTGGTCCAAATTTTAATTAAAATTTGTTCTAACTTATATGTATTTTATGATAGAATTTTCAAATATTTTTGAAAAAATGAGAACACAAAATTTTTTGGAACTTTTAAAATCCGTTCCGCGGTATGTTGTTCCGAAGCAAACCCTGATATCAATATAGAAAAATTTTTTTCTAAAGAGATCTTAGAAAAAAGACTCAACTACGAGGTATTTTTATGCATTTATAAACTTGTAAGAAATACTAAAATAAATTACAAAAATATATTTTTAATAATTAATTTAAAACAAAATTCCCCCCATTTTGTGTTGTTCTCATTTTCATTTCAATTTCAAATTGGTTTTTAGGTTTAATAATACAATTTTGATTGCCATTTAATTGTTGTTCTGTTTTTAATAAATTAACTTCTGAAGTTATTCCAACTCTACCAAATATTGAAAAATTTGTTCGTCGTAAAAGTTGAAGAAATTGATTTGATGGACTTTCCCTAAGTTAAAAATTATTTTACTTAAGTAATATTACGTTTATAAAAATTAATTTTTTAAAATAAAATATTAAAATGACATGGAATATATTTTCCCATTTTTTATTGTGAAGATTATCAGTTATTAAAGGTTTGACTTAAAATATAACGGAAATAGTTTTGGCATTAAATAGACTTTAGAATGTGGATATTACAAGAAGAGATAAGTACCAACTCTAATTATATACTTTATTAATTTCAAAAAATATTTTCATTCTTATTCCTTATTGAACTTTGTCAAAGTACTAAAAATTCAGTAACATTCCAAAAATACCTTAATCCTTCCTCCATTTTGCCAGGCCCATCAGAATGTATTCCACTAGCATTAGAATGATTATTTGTGTCACTTAGACAAGAATGGAATTCGTCACGGGGTGTACCAGCAGCACTTGTTTGTGTCCGCTGAACACGACTAGCCCTATCACGACTAATTTCTGTGCCTTAAAATTAAAAAAGTTTTTAAAAATAAATTAAAATTTTACGAAATCCAAATGTTAAACACAAAGCATTTCTAAATTTATTATTCAAAAAACAATAAGTAATTGGATTTGTGCAGGAAGATAAATATGTTAAGACGGTAATAAATGTATTTACTTCTGAATTCCAAATATTGAAAGTCTTTAAATTATGTTTAAGTTGTGATTAAATAATGTAAATACTCTTCTTTATTAACTACCTGAAACGTATCTTGTGCATTAAGTAAAAGCCACCAAATATAGGAAGGTGTCCAACAACAAAAGAATATTACAACAATTACAATTAACATTCTTATTAATCTAAAAAATAAAATTTTTAAATTAAAATTATTTATCTATATTTACAATATATTAAAATAAAATTAAGACAGAGTTTAGCAAAAGCTTAACCACCGGGCAGGATTCGAACCTGAGACAACGTTGATAATGCTCGTTCGGCCTTGCTCACACAAACCACTGAGCTACTGGGGCGAGTGGTAGATCCTTTTAGATAGCTTAATCCCCGCCTAACAAATAAGCGCTCATCCTTACAATTACTACCTTTGTTTTGCCAATGCCGTTCTTCCAGAATGTGTTGACCTTAATTCAGTAGTTGGATTAATTCTTTTAGTACTACATTCATTCCAATTACGGCCAACAGAAGAACTACAAGATTTTTGTGCTCTCATTATTTTTTTCTGATTTAAATCTTTCTTTTTTACCATCCAACTAGAAAGTCTTTAAAAATATATTTTTGTGTTTTTTAAATTAATTTTTATTTTTTATTAGGCCCTTAATAGCAGAGGTCGATCGGAAATGAAGAAGGTTTCGGAAATCGGAACTGTCGGAAATCGAAAATGGCTCCAAAGTCGGAACTCGGAAATCAGCTCAACTTTTTGGAAATCAGAATTCCGATATATAGACCTCTGTTTAATATCCCCTTTAAATTACATAAAAATATAAATTTAATTAAATAAACTTTAACTACATTTTTTAATTAAATAAATTAACTAGCCTTCCTCTTTTTACATTTTCCCGATTTATTGTAAAATTATTAGTTACACCATTACGAAAATTTTTTCGTTTTTCTAAACACGAATCATTAGAATTCATTAAAGGAGTTGCATTACTACTACCTTAAATTTCAAAATAATTATATTTAAAAATCAAATATTTATTTACTTTCTGTACCCGAAATAGCAGCAATATCCATCCTTATACCCGAACTAAGTGTATATATTACATTTCCATATCTTTTTTTTAAATTAAAAATTAATAATTTCACAATCATAAAAAACATACAAAACAGTCATAGCAACAAGTGGAACAATTAAAAGGGCTATAGTCATGTAAATTTGATACCCAAAATGTACAATAGGCTCAAATTTTGGGGCACAATTAAGTCCATTAAAATTATAACTTCGTTCTTCATACATAAAAAGCATAAAAACGTTGGCTATAACTGAGACTAGCCTATGAAAATATTTTAAAATTTTGAGAAATTGATGGAATTTTGTTGTTAATAGAAAAATTATTTAAAAATTATTACAATAGATATTAATATTTATTTAATTTTATTGAAGTATTTTAACATTTTAAATTAATTTTTGGTTATTTACTCAAAATAATTTAATAAAAATATTTTCATTACCAAACTAAACTAATCACAAACATTGCATGAGTTCTAGTATGCCATATTCTTGAATGTAAAGGCCGACATATTGCATAATATCGCTCTAAAGCAATTGCTGCGAGGGTATAAGCAGAAGCTGAACAAAACGCGATTAAAGCTAAAAACGGGATTGGAACAGAATCCCGTTTCCCGGTTCAGTTTTCCTCACTTTTTGGAGTTCCCAGAATAAACTTTATCTGGAATTCCCTGATTTTCAATAAATTAGTTTCTTTCTGTGAAAGAATAATAAAACTCATCAACTATAGAAAGCCCGAAAAATGCAAAACCAATGAATATAAATGAGGGAGGAAGGATGTTCTCAAGCTTTAAAGTCCCCAATATTCAAGATTCAATTTCAAACAAACCCCATAATTATTGTATTAAAAATAATCATGACTTGTTTATGAATAAGGATGGCGGTTCTGGGAAATTTCTGGATTCCGTATACCCGGAATCGCCAACCTTAGTTTATGAATAATAACAAATTTAAAATACCTGTCACAACGACGGCTGAAAATAATTAATATTAAATATTAATCGAATAAATTTTAAATTATTTTTCCATTTTATTTGAAAATAAAAAAATCGAAAAATAATTGTGTTCTAACATTTATTTTAAAAATTAAAATTACTTACGTTGAAGGTATGCCAGAAGTTTACACAATAAATCACCAAATACCCAACAATAAACTAATGAACTAACTAATGTTGGGGGCATACAAACAACACTTAATAATAAATCACTAAGGGCCAGATTTAGTAAATACAAATTAGTTACAGAACGCATAGATTGTTGCTATTTAGAAGAAAATTAAATTTAAATATTTAAATAAAGAAATTACTTGTAAGATAACAACAACGACAATAGAATTCCCAACAACAGAAAGACAAAAAATAATTGCAAATGTCAAAATCATCAAATAATTTTCTAAATTTGGGTGGAAGACACAATCCTAAATAAAAATTTTTTTATCAAATATTAATTAAATAATAATAATAATATTTTTTAAAGTTGGAAGATTTAATTAAAGAAAGGAATTTTAGTATATATCCAGAACTTTACGTTACAGTGTGTAATAGAGATCAAGGCCTGGGTTTTGGACCAGGGCTTGGGTTTCCCTGTAGCCAGAGTCCAGGCCTAGGCCTTTTTCTGACATTCCTGGGTTTTTCTTGGACTACAGACCCAGGATCCAGCCCAAATCAATAAATCAAACTTGGAACCCAAGAACCCAAGCTTTTCTTGGGTTCTTGGGTTCCAAGTGGAACCCAAGCTTTTCAAAAATTTCGATCTCTAGTGTGTAACATAACTATAACCCGCCTAAGATTTTTTAATTTCTAAGGTTCTAGTGAATAAAAAAATTTTAAAATTTTACCAAAATTTTAAATTTAATTTTAAATTTAATAATTCTATATTTTATTTAAATTTTATTTTTTTTAAATTTAACTTAATAATTTTAAATTTTTACAAATGTAGTTTACAAAAAATTCCTACAAAATTTTTTTATACTAACACTAGAACTTTATATTTAAAATTAAAAAATTTTGGCGGGTATACACAAATTATTTATCTTTCCCAAATTGTTTTTGCGTAGCTTATGTATCACTAAAAATTTTCTTCTACCCCAAATCCCTCCCAACCTACATTTTTTTCTAACTGAAAATTATTTTCAAAAAATAATTGTTGTTGCTGTTGTTTATCTTCAATATCTTCTAAAATATTTGAAGTTAAAGAAGAATAATCTTCTTCAAAAGAAAATATTGTTTCATTCATTATTTGTTGGCTTTTATTATTTAAAATTAAAGGGAAGGAAGAATTGTTAAATAGTAAATGTTGTAATTTTGGGAAAGAAATATTATTATTTAAATTAATTAAAGAGGATGAATTTAAATTAGAGGAGGAAGAGGAGGAAGGAGGAAAAGATCCATTTGCGCTATCAGGCAAAACTAATAAATTTAAAATATTTATTGCTGTATTTGTTAGTAATTCTTTTGCCATTTTATTTTAAATTTAAAAAAAGATCTAAATATATCCTTTATTTTTTAAGAAAAAAAAGTTTTATAAATAATTGGATAAATAAATAAATAAAATTAAGTTAAAAATAAAAAAAAGATTTTATAAGAAAAAAATTTTTTGGAGTATTTTTTATTAAAATCAGTTTAAATTAAATTGTATAAATGTATCAAATAAATTTATATTAATTTATTTAAAATTTTTAAAAATTAAAAATAAATTAGAATAATATGAGTTTTTAATAATTTTTAAATTTTTTAAATTTTTTGATAGGGGTATTAACCGACATAAAAATTCAATTCACAATTTTCGGGAATCAGGATTCCCAACCCAGGATTCCCAACTCCCGATTTTCGGCAATCGGGTCGGCTAGATCTCTGGCACTTAGTAATAGTCCACCCATACTTTATTTCTAGTCTTAGGACTTGAAGTTTGATAATTATTCGAAATGGATATCTCGAAAAATTTTAATCTCGATAACTGAAATTTTAGAATGATTACCAATTTAATTTAAATCATTAAATTAAAAAAATATTTGTTTCAACCCAAAATTAAAGACAAAATTAATTGGTATATATAAAATCAATCCAAAAAAACTTTAATGATTATTTTAAAATAAAAGAGAAAAGTGATTTAATTTGTTAATTATTGGTGAAAATATTTGGGAAACAGCTGCTACATAGATTAAGGCAAATTGATTTTAACGTGATTTATTGTAAAAAAGGGGAAGGAAAATTAAATTGTTTTATTTGTTTTAATTAGATATTCGAGAATTGTTTAAATATACATATATTTAAATTGCCATAAATAAAATAAATTTTAAACTATTAGCAAGAAAAGTCTGAAAAGGAATTACTAAAAATATTTATTTAATTTATTTAAACTAAAGAAGTTTAAAAAATAAAAACAATAGACAGAAAATAAAATATAAAAATCACAAATAAATTTAATTTTTAACAACTATAAAAGTAGTCACAAGGTTTAAATAAAAAACAGCTATGTAAGGAAAGCAATGCTTTAAAATTAACGAATTTTTTTGTTTTTGGATTCAAAATAAAAATAAATTTATTTATATTTTCGGACAAAATTTAAATAAAAATAATTCTTTATTATAAAAATACTTGACACTTTATTTGTTTTGTATTTTTATTTCTGTTATAATAGATAGGTATGTAGTAGGGATGAATTTTAAAAAGCGGAAGACGTAAGGCAGGAGAACATCCATTTCTGATTGATAGCCTTTAAAAATTCCCCATTTTGGATTTTATGCAAAAATATTAAGTATTTATTTTAAAGTTATATCAATATATTTATTTATTTTCTAATTTAATTTTTATTAAAATTTAAATAATTCAAGTTTTGAATGTTAAAAGGGCATTTTTGTTTGTGTAGAAAATAAGCGTTGGCGAGTGGAAATTAAATTTACTTTTTTTTTCTTTTTGCTGCTTTCCGTACTTGGCGCTAAAAAGTAAAGAGGAAGAAAAATATAAAAAAATTTAATATATAATACATTAAAAATAAATTTATTTTAAATAAATTTTTTTTTATTTTTAAAAATTATTTTTAGAAGATTAGTTGAAAAATAAATGTTGAAAAAATTAAATTAATTATTTCCTTGTTAAAAAATTATTTAAAAAATATAGGTAATAAATATTTTTTTATTTTTTAATTTGTTGATAGCCAGGAAAGTTTGGAAAATTTTTAAAAATGTAAAAATAAAAACTAAAGAATATTTTATATTTATTTTAATTTAAAAAATAATTAAATATAAAAAATAATAAATTTTTATTTGTCTTCTAAATTACCCAATTTTAATTAATTTTTAGTCGCTTGTTAAGGCGCTAAAAGGATATTGGCCCTCAATTGTTTTTTCTTTTATTTTCGTGCAGAAATATAACAAAAGTATTAAGTACATACTATTTTTATTTTAATTTATTTATTAGAAAAATAAATAAATGAAAGACAAAAAGTTTGTTTAAAAATTAATTTAATATTAACAAAAATAAATTATATTAAATTAAAAAAATTGTTGGGAAAATAATTAAATAAATAATTTTCAAAATCAAATTTCAAGGTAAAATATAAATTTGTTTATTAATCTTTTATGAAATAATTTAGATATTTTAAAAGTTCAAATATAATTTAAAAATTAAGAATTTAAGGAAAATTAATTTTAAATTAATTTGTAAAATCTAAAAGAGCAGCAGGGTTGATAAAAAAGTCGAGTCAGGTTTCGGGTCGAAAAAAGGCCGACCCATCCCTGAAGAGCAGTGAACATTTTTTAAAAATAAAGAAAACAATAAATATTTGATGATTTAAAAAAAGCAAAAACAACAAAAATAATATTAAATAACCAAACAACAAAATATTTATGTAAATTATTAAATGCGAAAATTGTTTTTATTTATTTCAAAAGAAAATAAATTTTGAAAAAGGCGATAATGTTTTTCTAGCAAAATTGTGAATTTTTTTGATAAAAATTAAATAAATATTCTAAATGAGAAAATATCTTTTTTTAATTTTTTTGGTTTTGTTTTGTTAGAAAATAATTATTATTTTTATAATTTAATAGGAAAAAGATTATTTATAAAAAAATAGAAAAAAGGTTATATTTATTTTTATTTTTTTGTGTCTACAACGTCACTGCTATTAGGTTGTAAATAAATACATATATTTAATTGACGATAAAAGGACGACTAGTATTTTTTAAATAAATTTTTTTTAAATATTTTGATAAAATTTAGTTCCTTATTATAATTAAAAACTGTGTTTATATTTATCCGATTAGAGATTATTTTGACAATAAATAACGGCAATACTTAGAAATCAAAACACAAAATTATTCTTAAGAAACATCATTGGCTTGTGTTTCAGTCTTTAAAAATCGAAGAAAGTATGAGAGTTTTTTGGAGTAAAAAATTGAATAAAACATTCGAATTAGAAATGCATTCAAACACCAAAATTATAGTTATTTCTGGTAATTCTAAATAAAATTATAACTAGCTAAAACTTAGCTGAAAAGTTGTTTTTTATACTACGGAGAGCATTATACTTTATATTTAATTAATTAATTTTTAAATGGACTAATTTAATCTTTTAAATTAAATTATCAAATCATAAAATATTTAAAAAAAATTTTGGTACTGAACTTTCATTTTTTTTAAATTTAATTATAGGATAAAAATATGGGAATTTTAATATTTAAAAATAGTACACTAATTTTATTTCAGAAACTTTTTTTAATAATAGTTTATTAAATCTTATACATAATTGCAATAATTTGACTAAATTTAAATTTTAAATAAATTCAAAAAATAAATTATTTTAAAAATAAACTTTTATTGAGTAAAATATCCAAAAAATTTAATTTTTATGATAATCGAATAATATTTTTTTAAATTTAGACGTGAGAAAAAAATAAAGAAAAGAAAATATTTAGTCACGAAATTCTCTAGAAATAAAGAAAGATATAATATTGAACCTTTTTAGTTAATTGAATATTTAAATAGAAAATATTTAGTATATTTTATTTAAAATGAAAGAAATACTTTTGAATAAGAAAAAAAAATCCGGAAATAAAACACATTAGTAATGAAAAATGAGAAATTTATTTTGAAATAAAATTATGTTTAACAGTAAAACAAACAGGCATTTATTATTAATCTCGATTAACGGATTTATGTGGATATAATAAATATGTAGGGTAAAAATATTTTGAATTTAATTTGACGTTAAAAATATGTTTATATTTTTATATTAGAATATAAATATTATTTGGATTTATTATTAATTCTAGACCTTATAAAAATATAAAAATATTTAAAGGTTAAATTCTTTAGGGAGGTATATTAAATATATTTTATTTAAAAATATTATTATTTTTAAATAAAAGATTAAAAGAAGAAA